TTTTTTTTTTTCTGTGCTTTGTGATTCATACTGATTGTTGATTTGAAAAAAAAGGGAAGATTTTGGGAAAATAATCTACTGTTTGCTCCTTGAACCCTTAGTTCTAGTCGGGTTGCCTCGTAGCGTTTTTTTAGGTTCTAGCATGTTTGCTTTGTTTAATTAGACCTTGAAAAGCTTGAATACGACTAGCGGTTTTTCAAAAACTGGCGGAGGCGAGATGGAAGAAGGGTAATTACTTGCTAGGACTAATTTTTACAGAGTAGGTCTTCTTCTAATGAAAATTTTATTTTTGGCTAGGTTTTACAGCTAAAGGTTCCATTCCTGTCCTACTTGTCCGGTTGCCGTTGTTTCTACTACTGATGAAACTAGCGTTTCATTATGAACTTTTATAGCGCGGGTTGTATCTTCTTTAACTTGTGTATATTGTACATTGTTATCATGTTGGCCGTAGCATTCAAATCAAATTTGCATCATTATACAAGTATTCATTTTGCCGGCCAACTTTTTTATTACACCGTAATTCAATTTTCCTTACTAAAACTGCTTTTTAAAGGTAATTAATTCAGTGGACAATTAAGTGGGAGTAGCCATTATTGGATTAGTAAACTTAAATTTTCTTGCACAGTTGTGACTGGTAGGGAGACAAAGTTTGTGATGCCAGACTTGTTACGAAGGAAGTTATGCGAAATTTGGGTGTGATGGAAAATGGTTCTATATTTTCATTTCGTCTCTCATGATTCATCTTTTTTTTTGTTTTGCTTTTTATAATTTTCAAATACAGGTAAAATATTTGTTCTATTGCTTTTTTACTTATTTCATTTCACACTAGCTTGTCTTTTTTTGATAGTCGTGTTGAATTACCGCCTCGGTAATTCAACAGGACTATCAAGAGAACGGCAAGCTAATGTGAAGTGAAAGTGAAAATTTTTTTCTTATCATTTTCAGAGTAAGTCATTACTCGTGTTATCCTTCAATATTAGTGCATTGGATGCGGTACTGCAGTTGTAAAGCTGCGGATATTTTTCTCTCCTTTAGGTATCAGTTGAGTGGTATTGCGTATACTGAACAAGATCTTCAAGGAGTAGGTCTTGTTAGTCGGATTTTTGCGATAATAGTTATTATTTGAGTAGGAAACTAGAAAAGCAAAAAAGACGAACGGTCTATAGATTTGGTTCGAAAGGAAGTGAAGTTTAATTTTTTGTATTTTCTGTTTGCTTAGAGAGCGCTTGGTAGTCGTTGGTCTGGTGGTAAATTATGCTGTTCTTGTGTTAGCGAACGGTCAGCTGAACTGTTAATGTGCTTTTGACATGTTTTTCTTTATCCGTATAGAGTAACTGCTATTAGGGAACTTGACTAGTATTGATCAGTGAGTAGTTGTAGTAAACTGTAAGATAAGTTTTTCACTGAGAGAGCAGTTAACGCCAGTTATAGGAAATATCTATCTTAGAGTTGATTGATTCGAAAGGTGCACAGGAAGGACTTCGGACTATATTTGAATACTTGTTTATCTTCGTTCACTTCTGTGCCGCTAGATTTTCTTTTTCTTAAGGTGGCAATTCGTGAAATCAAATAGTTGGTCTTTGGCTTTCAGTCTCAGCTTGTTGGACTCGGCTGTT